TGAAGTAGAGGGTAAAGCCGAAGGAGTCCATAAGGCTGGAGAAATTCATGGTAAAGAGATCAGAGGGATCATCAACGTGGATGTTAAAGTCACCAACAATCACCAGTCTGGACAGCTTCACAGTGGAGGATAGAAAGTCACTAAACTCCTGAAGGAAAGAACTGTTTGGACCAGGTGGACGATAGACCACAGCACAGTAGAACCGGTCCTTACGCCCGACTTTAATCAGCTGCAGTTCAAAGGAAGCAAAGTGACCAGAGGTTGTAGAGCTACATGGAAGATGGTCTCTGAAAACAACAGCTAGGCCTCCACCACGACCAGAACCCCGGGGCCGGCTAAGAAAAGAATAACCACTCGGGCAGAGTTCAATCAGAGCAGAATAATCAGATGTTTGCTGCCAAACTTCAGTCAGAAACAGAAAATCCAGGTTTTTAGACAGAATTAGATCATTGAGCAGGAAGGTCTTATTGTTACCAGAGCGGGTGTTTAATAGAGCCATGCTGAGTGAGGTGGAGGAATCAGAAACTACAGAGACAGCTGGAGTTAGTGGACGTAAATTAGCAGGTGGAAAAGAGGCGGGGTCATGGGAGAAAAGTTTGAAAAAATGGCCGGTGACCGCGGCGAAGCCAAGCACAGGCGCCATCTTGTTACCGACCAGACAGAGAGGGAAGTCTGGGCCTCTCGACTGCTGCCCCCGCGACCCGACTCCGGATAAGTGGATGAAAATGGATGGATGAATGGATGGATGATGGATGGTGGATGGATGAATGGATGGATTGTCTAACAAATTATTGATGATAAACAATATATCCTAATAATGCATAAATAGCCTTTACAATGCAACAGTTAAACCTTTATTTAACATTGGAATGTCCAGAACCAGCACTTCTGAATAAATAAATAAACAAAAATAAATAAATAAATAAAGATTTTCACTGTCTGTTGCAACAAAAACAATAAATAAAATATCCAGTGTCAACAACCAAAACTGCACTGCAATGCAATAAATAATAATAATATTAATAATAATAATAGAGGTGCACTTTTCTTAACCTCCTTATATTGAGTTCATTTTCATCTATCGTACGATTATTGATGAATTGATTATGGTCCCAGCCCTATACATATGAAACGTGCTGTGTAGGGTGCCGACATGTAGTAAGAACACGGTAGATGAGTATTTCTCTACTTTATTCACAGCTTGCTCAGAGGTCCCTCTCATCTTCATCATGGCTGCCTCTGTTCTTGCCTCACACGCGGTCCTGCTGCGCCACCTAGTGGTGCACGCAGCATTCCCCCTTCACTTGAACAGAGGACATGCCCAGCAAACGCAGCAGTGAACGGCAGGTTTAGTAAACGTCCATCACATACCTTCGCCCGTAACCAAATGAAATGACTTCCTCAGCACTCCAATGAATCATGTAGGCCGTACACGTTCTTTTACACCTGAATCTACTGGATTGCCCAATAGGAGAACACTCTGAATTAATCCAACTGCTTGTGAGTCATGTTTCCAGTTAGAACAGGTTCACTTTAACCACCAACACATTACTCGGCTCTAGCCTAACTCCCTAAACCACACAGCTCATGCTACAACTGGTTCATCCTTACCTGACGCCATTGGTGTAGGGGCCCTATCCGCCGTCTGGCAGCATTCTAGCTCTTTCTGTCACTGAGTACATACGTACTTTCTCTGTTTTAGAACAGATACTGGTGGTGTATACTCAGTGAACCTGTCAGGCCTTCTTACTCTCACCATGTCTGCAGGCTTGAATGTTGGTTTCTTCGCTCCACGACGTTTGTCAGTGCATGCTTTAGACTTTTCTTGTTTCACCTTCACTGTCTGGTGAACTGCAACACATTTCAGATTTCTCTCTGGAATGGGAAAGATGTTCACCTCAGTCTTCATCCTCTTATTGTGCTAGCTCCGGCGGTGATACCCCAGTAGCAGTGTGTGGCGTCGCTCTGTAGCTCTGGAGGAGATCCGTCACTGCTGTTGGCCAATGGTGTTTCATATGTTCACCATGGTTTCCCTCTTTCTGCCGCACCATTGCACTGTGGATGGTACCATCTAGTACGCAGATGACACATACCCCTTTCTGGGAGAAAATCAGCAAATGTAATAATCCACTAATGTTATAACAAATGTCCACGAGGAAGCAGCAGTTTCAACAGGACCCACAGTGTCTAGAGCCACTTTCTCCCCAGGTCTTTTAGGCAGGTCAACAGGCTGGAGAGGAGCAGGAGCAGCGCCAGCAGACTTGTCATTCATCTGGCAAGTAGTACATGAAGCAATAGCCGACTGAACCTGTCATCCATCTGAGGCCACCAGTAGAGTTCACGAGTTCAGCCTCTGTTTCAGGTGAACAACAACTTGATGTGTGCCATGCGCTAGATGGGTTAGAGTGGCACGCAGGGACAACGTAGCCTCATAACCAGGTCCTGGGACGCAGGCAGTTCATCTTTGATGGGGAAGTAAGGTTATAAGAGAGGTCTGCATCCTTGTTGCACTTTGGTTGGTTCATGGCATTGAGAACAGCAGATGTGAAGGCAGCAACAGATAAGGCTGGCTCAACAGATGCCACCATATCAGGCTCCTCCACAGACGTAGGATCCACAGCGAGTGGCAACTGTGACAAGCAGCCTGGTTCTGACTGGTTCCCGAGTCGTAGGTGAAGCACAGGAGACGCGCTGACCAGCATGCAACTTCCAGCACAAACCGTGCCTTTGGCTGCGAGCAGCGCGGTCAGGGCCTGATGCTCAGTTCTTAGAGTGAAACGTCGGCCCCATAGGTGAGACCTCCACTTTCCCCACAGCCCATACCCATGCAAGTGCCTCCGTTTCCACGGATGAATAATTCCGTTCTGCGCCAGTAAGAATTCTGGATGCAAACGCCACCGGTCATTCAGCACCGTTTGGATGTAGTTGGGTCAGCACACCACCCAGTTCATAGTCGGAAGCATCTGTGGTGATAATGGTTGGGAGAGAGGGGTCAGAAAGAGCCAGCACTGGACTGTTGATCAGAAGCTGTTTTAGCTGCTTAAAGCTCTGATCAGCCCCCTCAGTCCATGCAAAGCCAGAGTCAATTCAATTCAATTCTAGTTTATTTCTAAAGCGCCAAATCCCGACAAGAGTCGTCTCAAGGCACTTCACA